AAATGGTGGGTGAATCTCCCAACGAAAACTGTTGCGTACGCAAATACTCGAACTCGAAACCTTATTTAAACTGAAACAAGTCGCTTACCACTTGATCCAATCCCTCGTTGGTATCTTTATAGAGTTTATTAGTATAAAAACAAATCAGTCAACATTAATAAATCTAGACAAACATAAATCTTAAAACAAGTCACGAGGCCCAACAAACCAAAGCAACAGTCTAAACAAAACTAATTTCAGCAATTGAAGCTTGGAAGCGATAATAAATCAATTCAGTAACAGCACAAACAATATCTCCCTTGTCCCAGCATTAAGACTATCAATCCTTTCCTGGTCCATCCAAAAATTCAGCAACATGATATTGGTGCATGTCAATTAGTCTTCACCAGCATTATGAGGCGCCAAAGAGGATCGGATGACATAAAAAAAATTTTCCAATTTTTCTTTCAACAGCCAGTAGCATTCAAGCCTCTTAATTCAACAACATAAAACTATATCAAAAATTTAAAAATATAAATTTTATTAATTTTTAATTTTTTTTAAATATTGATTTTATTAATTATTTAATTAATTTTTAAGTAAAAAATAAAAAGTTAATATCCAAGAAGATTTCCCTTCTTCCTAGAAAATGCTTAGAAAATCAATAAATATGTATATATTAATCCAAAAAGATTTAAACTCTTACATTTAATCATTCGAGTTAAGTGGTCTTTGATCACTTTAAAGTATATCAACCTTCCCTTCTTGTACGGATTCAAGTCCGCTCCACGACAACATTAGAGCAGGACAAATGGTTTCCTGGAAAACACTTCGAAAAGCAGGGGAAAGATCCTCGCCGACACAATAATTGAAACGGAAGAAACATGAAACAGCGAGTCGGTGACAGGGTCTGAGGGTCATTAGCCCCACATGCACCTGGGAAGGTATAATGCCAAGAAAAATCCACGAACTTTGTATAATTAAGGGCTCATTGTCATCCTTTTATCACAAAAAGAATCATCAAGATCAGGGACAAACTTAGAAAATTTAGTTACGTGGGGTAAAAATTAGTATTAAAAATTTTAGTTTTCAAGAGTATATTTTATGATATTAATTTATTTTTAAAAAAAAATTTT